ATCGTACCTGGATGTTATCCAAAGGTGCAGTGCCTCTATACTTTTCTAAGCCTTTTTTTGGTTGGAGGAATTTGAAGGGGATGCGAGGAAAGTGGATGAGTGAGACGGGGTTGATAATGATGAATGAGATGTAGGGATGAGTCGATGAGAATATGAATATGATGATGATTTGGGGAGGGTGGAGGGGCTGCAGCTTTTTTTGGCTTCCGTGGACAGGGAGAAAGGAAGAAGGAAAAGGGAAAGAGATCCAACTTGCCACATGTTAATATTCTACCCCATTCTTGTCATGCCATTTTCTGTGATCTAATGTCAACCTTGTTACTTTAGGAACCATTTTGGGAGCAGTATTGATTATTGAATCTTAGGATTGTTTTTGTTTGTCAGAGCAAACTTAGGATATGATTATTCCAGACAAATTTTTCTATACTAATTATGATAAAATCGATAACTATAAATTACGGAGTATAATACTTTTATACATTTGGGAAGTATTGATTTCTCCTCACTAGTTCATGGAATCAACCATTACATTTCTTTAACACTTCCATTCTTCGTTCCTTCCCTCATTTGAACCAAACAAAGGCTAAAAGAATCCTACTAGCTTAATATAAGCTCATTTTTTGTGTTGCAGGTTGGAGCCTGTTATTATAGAGCTTGAACGACAACGAGCACCTGTTGTTGTGATATCTCACCAAGTAATGCTTTTCATTAAAGTCTGTCTTCCCTCCTTTCCATCTTCTATGGATATTATACTTGGAAAACTAACCATGTCTGGGGTTCATTTTCATTTATATATTCACAGGCAGTATTGCGAGCTTTATATGCTTATTTCGCTGACAGGCCACTCAACGAAATTCCACACATAGAGGTAAATTCATTGATGTTTCTTCACTAATCATGTGTCTGACTTACATTCTTTACTCTAAAGAATTATCCAAAAGTTTGAGGCCTGTTTGGTTTGGCGGGGTATCATATTGGTTTGGTTAGCAGTTTTTTGATATTCAAACCCGTTGTTATTTTTCATACTTGTAATATTGATACCGTACCTCCCCTTCTGGCATAAACCATACATTCCTCATTCCAACCAGAAGGGCTTTGCTGTTTTTTCCTTCTGCAACAACAAACAAGCCCAAGGTTCTTAAATCTTACCGTAACTTTTTCCAAAAATTTTTATTTGGAATCTACAGTTCACAAATTCCTTGAAATCTCAATCTCTACAAATCAGGAGCACAAATTCAGGAATATCTTTTCCCTGCTTCATCATCAAATATTCAAACTATTCTGCTTCATATGAGGTTTCTAAACCAGACACAATAGAGCAAGGGTTCTTCGGGTTTTGTCACCATTTTCTTCCACTGCTACGAATGAGTAGAGCTCCGTATAGGAAACCCCAACTTCATTACACACATAAACCAGACACAATAGATCATGTACAGGGTTCCAAACGGATACGACCTCATAAGTCATAACGCCTACTTGATCTAAGCCGATACCTTACTATGATTGTCAAGTTGATATCTTACTAGGATTGCCGAGCCAAATGAGAGTTCTGTTCAAAATAATGGGGGGGGGGTGAAGTTTGTGATTATGATGGTCTTGGACTATTGATATGGGAACTGTGATCTTGATGTTGTGAGATGTGATTTTTGGCTGCAAATTCAAAACTGCAGGTACCCCTCCACACAATATTAGAGATTCAAATGGGAGTGACTGGCGTCCAAGAGAAACGGTACAAACTATGTGATTAACCACTAATTGGTATGAGATTTGGTATTCAACTTTACTTTCCTTTTCCCCCCCTTTACTGATCCAGTGTAACATGAATAAATTTTATATAGCTATAGTTGGAACTTGGAATAAGTTGAGTTCTGTTTGTTTGCACGAAAAAGGCAGGAAAAGGAAAGAAAAATGTGCACGAAAATAAAACATGGCCAACTTTTATATTTTATTTTTTTTGTTGCACAACTTCAAATTTCTTAGTGATGGGTTGATACCCAACAGGCGGCCCAAATACCGCGCTTGGTGGGTTTATTGTCCATCACTTAGTATGATGGAAAAAAATGTATAAATATAATTAGGTTGAAATGATAAACTTCTTATGTCCCAAAATGTAAACAACACTTTACTATTTAAAAATCATGGGAACCTTTATTTATTTTATGTTTTTATTGATTATTTGATAAAATAAAATATTCTTGTCATCACTTAGTTTGTAAAAAAAACTTTTGGAGTACATTTTTAATTTACTAAAGCATACAAAATCAACATTCCCACTCGGATTTGAACACGTGACTTATTATTTTAAAAAATCTTAATTATACTGCTGATTATACCTTATATCATTAGAAGTTTTAATGAACAGAGGGAGGTTGTATATATACACAGGAGCCTTCCATTTAAGCAATTTTAAATCACTTTTAAGTGATTTGATATCACTAACCACCATCACTAATCCACCAACTCTAAAAGTGTCACGCATCAAAACATCAAATTGATTGATTATGATAATTTTAAATGAATTCATGTTAATTATTTCTAATTTTACTCCCTCCGTTCTCAAAAAGAGTTCCTACTTTAAAAAAGTGGAAAAATAAGAAAGTGTTAAATTGTACTTCCTCTGTCTCAATTTAAATCGTCTGTTTTGATTTTTGGGCATATTTAAGGAAAATAAAAAATAGAGTTGATTTTTCAAAATTGACATTACTTTTTAGGAGGGGTGATGATGAATGAGAAGATAAGGTGAAGAAGAATGACTTATTTTAGGGGTAGTTTAGGTATTTTATTTTTAAAAGTTTATGAAAACAACTAACAGGCAATGTATTTTGGGACGGAGAAAAAAAGCAAACAAGCAATTTAAAATGAGACAGAGGGAGTAGTTGACTTCCAATTTTGTTCTTGATGTGATGGGTAAAAGTAAAATGTGATGGGTAGATTATTAGAAAAAAAGTATGATGTGATAGGTAGGGTATGAAAAAGTAAGGGTAAAAGTAGTTTTTTAATAGAAAGTGGAAGTGTTTTGCTGGAAGTGAAAAAAAAATAAAAAAAGAAGTGTTTTTGAGAACGGATGAAGTATTATATGAATTCATAGTGTGTTTTAGACCAAACCCAATGAAAAGTTATATTTGGTTAGAATGTAAATTTGATATAGTTGAGTTTATTATAAAATGTAGCTTTGATATATCACATATATGCAAAAATTATTTATTTCAGATTATTTTTAATTTGTGATCAAAGAGTATTAAAATTTGAGATGGAGTATATTAAACACATAAATCTGATCTCGTAGGTTTAGAAAGAATGTCTTCTTGGTATTTGGAACTTGGTAGGTAAAGACGAAACAAGCTCCACTCCCCTCATATAATTAGTCTGATAATAAGATACTAATAATTAATGATATCTAAGGCGGCGGCGGCTGAGCCACCGTGGAGGACGAGCAATCCGCCGGAGCAAGACCATGCTGATCTCCGGCTACTCAATGACCGGCACTACGGCTTGCAGGGAGAGATCATCGCCTTCACCATGATAACCATTTTCTTCTTCTTCCTTTTCTTCCTCGTTGCCGTTCCTCTTTTCAAGCGGAAGCGGGAAACCGGCGCATCGGAAAGTCAATACTCCACCGTTGACCACCGTTGATTTCCGTGGGCTACACCAGCCACAAGTCATATATATAGATCGAGATGTTCTATATATATATATATATATATATATATATATATATATATATATATATATATATATATATATATATATATTCACCATACTAAGTTATGCCGCCACATTAAAACCGGTATAGTGTTGCTCATAAATGTACATTTCTATATACTGTTCGATTATACTGAACTCTTTTGGCCCGGATTGGAGGACACCGATTCAACTCGGACACTTATTATGGTGCTTTATACGTAACATTGATAATTTTTTCTCCTAATCCTTTATAAACCTTGCACCCAGTCCTAACCTCTACCTATCCTATCTTCCCAAGTCTCACCCACGTCAATTTCGTGTTGCAAGTTTACTTTGACTTTAAAGTACAAAAGATATTTATTTATCAAGATGGTTGACGTAGATTATTTACAAACACACAATAATTCTTAATTCACATAAAATATTTAAAAATGACAAAGGCCGCCAGTTAAGCCTATTTGAAAGTCTAAGAGACAACCTAACTCTATAACAAACACCTACAATTCAAGGTTTAGTTGCATTAAGTTTACTAAATTTTTAGCCAACGCACAAATAACATTCTTCCAAACGGACAAACATTCAATTCACATCTATATTTTTCTTAAAAAGACCTAATTGCTACTAGGATGAAATCCCAATCAAGCAACCAAGAATTAAATTAGCAATAAACTCACATGATTAATTAACAAGTATGCATCCAAATTAATCAAACTCATAAATCCAATAAAAAAAAATATACAATACCATGGCAAATAAATCATTAAGCATAAAATCTCATAAATCAAATCATAGAGTATTAACTTGAAATGGGAATTTAAGAATCCAGCGAATCATAATTCTAGAACAAGAAATCATAATTGAAATAATAGAACAAAAATCAGATGAAGAGAGCTCTGGAGTCTGGCCGAGGCCGAACTCCTTTTTTTTTTCTTTTTTTGCGGCTTTTTGGACTTGAGACTTTGAGAGTCTTAATTGGACTCTATAATTTTTTTTTTTTTGTTTCTTTCTTCCAAGACTTCTGGAAATGTATTTGGAATGAAGTACTCCGTATATTTTTTTCTTGGATCCATAATTCTTTGAATCATCTTGGTCCAATAACACCGCTCTTTTAGTCCATATTTTACATCTTGACTACAAATAAAACATACAGACTATAATACTGTCAAAACAAAAAACTAATTTAAAATAAATCAATTAAGCACAAAATATATTTTGACCACATAAAGAATAGATAGATAAAAGTCATACTCTCTCCGTCTGGGAAAAATCTTTTTCTCATTTTTTTTTTGAATGGTTGACTTTGGAAGGGATATGTCTAATATAACCTTCGTTTCTTTCTTGTTTTACACTTACAGCCCCAACCGCTCCCCAATCATTGCCGGCGATTGACCCACCCCCAATCATCGCCGGCGATTGACCCCGCCCCCACCACTCTCGCCTTAAACCTTAACACCATCGCCCCTCAACCCTCACTACTTTCGCACCATCGTCTATAGCCGCCACCATCTCTACCTCTTGGAGACAGAGAAAAGAGAACAGATGTAGATCTGCGAGAAAGAAAAGAGAAGAATTGGAAAAAGAGAAGAAGAAGAACCGTAGATCTACGAGAGAGGGAAGAGAAGAATTGGAAAAGGAGAAGAAGAAGAAGAAGAAGAAGAAGAAGGACGAACTCATCTGGAGAAAAAACAGGGGTGAGAAGAAGAATAAGGGGAAAAGAAGAAGAAAAAGAGGAGGAAGGAGAGAAAGAGAAGAAAAAGAGAAGAGGAAGGAGAGAAAGAGGGGCTGATGAGGATGAACAAATGAAGAAATGGAGAAGAGGGAGGAGAGGAGAAAAAGATAAGGTGTGAGTGGCTAGGAAATGAGGGAGGGGAGAGGAGAGAGATAGAGTGAAAATGGTAAGTGGGGGTATTTTGGGTAGTTATTGTATCAAAAATTGAAATGGGAAGATTATTTCCGGACGGAGAAAAAGGAGAAACGGGAAGATTATTTCCGGACGGAGGGAGTAATAAAAATGCTAGAATAAGTCTAAAATTACCAAAAGAGCAGAGTGAATAAAGGATAAAACATGTCCAAAATATAACCTAACATTTTGCTTAAAAAATTACTCCCTCCGTCCCATAAAACATAGGATGTTTTGCTTTTTGAAGAGATTTAAGGGAGTGTATTTTGGTATTGAATTTCCAAAAATGTCCTTTGATGTGATGGTTAAAAGTAAGATTTGATGGGTAGATTATTAGTAAAAAGGTATGATGTGATAGGTAGGGTATGAAAAAGTAAGGGGTAAAAGTGACTTTTTAATAGAAATGAGAAGTGTTTTGTGAGACGGATGAAAAAGGAAAGGAGAAAGGTTTTATGGGACAGAGGGAGTAGTATTTTTAATTATTTAGAAGTTGTTGCCTATGCAAACCGGGCCGACTCGAACACCGTGGGTACTCGTGCAGGTCGGGCTCAGGTTTCAACTGTTAGGCTCGCTACACAGCCTAGGCCGGGCTCGGGCCAAGAAAATTCTTGTAATGTCGCTTCTTGGCCCGCCTGGCACTTTGATGAGGTCTATCCATCCCACACGTTTTCAAATCAAGTAACCAATTCAAGTACACACAACAAATCAAATCACAACAAAATAGTTAAACATGCAAGAATATATATAAGAATATACTCCCTCCGTTCCTTCAAACCCTTCCACTTTTGACTTTGACCAAAAATAAGGAAAGTGTAATTTTGGTTGATTTTCCAATTTTGTCCCTGATGTGATGGGTAAAAGTAAGATGTGATAATTTGGTTATTAGAGAAAAAGTATGATGTGATAGGTAGGGTATGAAAAAGTAAGGGTAAAAGTGGGTTTTTGATAGAAAGTGGAAGTGTTTTAGGGAATTCAAAAAAAACGAAAGAGGAAGGGTTTTGTGGAAGGGAGGGAGTATATAATAATGCCTTTCTTGTTGCAAGTATCGGAAATTAAATGAATGTCTCACCATGTTATATTTGTAAAGATGTTTATATTTATTTGATGGCATGAACTCTATCTAAAAGTATCCTTATATATTAAGCATGAATTTATTTAAATTTAACTAGAAAGCAAACTTAATAATTAGATAATCTTGAAGACGACAAACAAAGAGCCAAAGAGCCATCCACAACTTCTTCTCTATTATCATCATCATCCAAACACCTTCTCTTGCAATATAATAACTTGTTCCTTTCATCTTCATAATTATCATCTTGATCATCATCATCATGATCTCTCAACATCAAGTCCATCATGTTCATTCTCAGCTTCAAGTCAACCGGTTTTTCGCTCGCGGTTCTACTCGAATTGGCGAATAGCGGAGAACAATAATAAGAAAGTCCATTATTATTTTTGTTCACTAAACATGGTCCTTGTAAGTGATCATGATCATGATCATCATGTAGTGATGGCATTGTATGAACAAGTTCATCTTGGTGTGTGATACTTCTCCACATTGGGGTTTTGAAGATCATCAACTTGTTCTTCACTCTATTCATTATCATGTTGTTCCTTGTAGACATCCAGTAGTTTACAGTACTATTACTGCTCCAAGAATTATCATATGGCCACCTCCTGCTCAAGAACATTGATTTTTTGCTCTTAATAATTACATGCATACACGAGAATTGTTTGTTATTCGTGTCTTAGCTCAAATTGTATATTACTTTTGTCCCGATATACATTGGTCTAATTTGAAGTTTTCGAGTCAAAACGGACAAATTTTGAATCTCAAATCCGTACCATAATGTATATAACTACTTATATATATATATATATATATAAATGGTTTTATTACATTTATCTCGTAGGAAAATTTCAAATTTAATGTTAATATTGCAACGAAAATATAGAGTAATTGATAATTAAAGTTTATCTAGTTAGACTCAAAAAAGTCAATGCAAAATAAAACATTGGGACGGAAGGGGTATTAGCTCAATTAAATGGAATTGTTTGTGTATTGAACTAGCCTCAAGCTAAGCTGAAAACATGAAGACTTTGATTACCTGAAGGATCTCATTATTCTTTGATCAAAGGCTGCAGGCAATTGCCAGAAGTTGTAGACTGCTCCCTCTTTCATCACTAATTAGCAATTTTGTCAAATTTAAAAAAAAAAATTGTAATTATTACATTAGCTTCATACCCCTATTAGAAATTATAATTATCACTAAAAACTACTCTCTCAGTCATACAAAACCTTTCTGCTTTGACTTTTAAAGGATTTAAAGAGTGTGTATTTTGCTGTTGATTTTTCAAAAATATTCTTAGATATGATGGGTAAAAGTAGATATGATGGGTAGATTAAAACTCTGTAGTAAAGAGTATGACGTTATAGGTAAGTTGAGAATTAGTAGGGGTAAATGTGACTTTTTAAAAGAAATGAGAAAGATTTTTGAGACGGATGAAAAAAGATAAGAGAAAAGTTTTGTGGGACGAAGGGAGTACTATACTTCGGAGTATGTTAATTAACATTAGGGTTATGCTATCTGTACACCACTTCTACACCGAGCAGTGTGTTACAAACACATATAGACAAATAATGTATGGAGTACACAGGGAAGAAATTGTTCATTTTGAGCTGAATAAAATGTACTTGGATCCGTATGTAATAAAATGAGATTAATAATTGTAATGAAAACATGATGATGTGAGTCGTCACTATTTCGTCTCACCATGGCCGTGCTGCTCATCAGCATGATCAACATTCTTGCTCCTGTACATCTGTTGAAAAAAATGGCAAAACCCCTTATTAAATGCTTCCCAACTATATTCATCAATCATTGAAAACGTAACATTATACTCCCTCCGTCCCAAAAAGTTTGTTACGTTTAGAAAAAACTGCGTCCCGTAAAATCCGTTACATCGTACCTTTTTTCTAATAATCTACCCATCACATCCTACTTTTACCCATCACATCAAGGGTATTTTTGGAAAGTCAATACCAAAATATCCTTCCCTTAATTTTCCAAAAAGTCAAATCGTCCCATTCTTTTTGGGACGGAGGGAGTATTAATCAAGCTAAGCAAAAATCCTACAATTACTTACGTAACGTCTTCGATATATGCCCTCATTAACAACAAGTGTTAGATAACGACTGATTATACGAATGACTCTATAAATTTGGTCATTAGCAATAAGTGTTGGATAATGAATGATTATTTCAACGAATATTCAAATTATTTTTAATAATGTCTTATTCTATTTGAATTGTGTAATAGATCATTTTTTTCTCAAAGACAATACATTTTAGAACTTTCCATAATTCCATTGCCAAACGTTAGAGTAGATAACACTTGTCCTATTTAGAGAAAAGAGATATATTTAAGCCTCATTTGGGTAAATTACCCCACATAAATATAAACGAACAAATAAATATTCACCTGTAAGTGGCTCTTGACATGAGAAATGCTTAGTCCCTTTACGTTCATTAGCTTCAAAACCATCTTAGGCGTTGCCCCTACATATTAATTATAAAAATCTTTGTCAAACTTCTTTTATTAATTTACCTTAAGATATAATAACACAAAGATCAAAAATCTTTTCTGGATCTACAAGCTTCTATCTGCTTGAGTTGATTCTTTAATATGATATCAGAGACCTGTTGATTAACCAAGCACTCACAGAAAATATGAAGCCATATATACTTCACTTACTTTCATGGCCGCCGAGGCGTTGCACGGCTTGGACAAAGCAATGGTGGAGATGAGGGGTCCACCTTAACCTCGGAACCTTCGATCTCAAGTATTGGCGTACAACTACCCCGCTACTCGTGTTGTTGCTCGAGGAAGAGGACGACGTCGGCGATGATGATAATGATGATGAGCTCATCATCCTCGTCGCCGTCGTCATCTCTCCCTTCTTCATCTTCATCTTCTCCGCATGATCATAATCACCATCAACAATGGCGGGGTCGTCGTCGTTACTTGATGAGCTCCAAATGGTTTTTGGATCCATATGATAATCATCATCTTCTTCTTCTTCTTCATCCAAAGGGGTGATGTTTAAGTCAACACAGATCTCTCTTTCCACCATTTTTGTTTTCTCTTTTTCTATGTATATAAATTAACTTCAACCTCTTAGGAGAAAAGGCTATATATATATATATATATATATATATATATATATATATATATATATATCAAGATCGAGAGCAGATGATGATTAAGTAATACATATACTTCTTGACTATTGATGAATTATTAGGCTAATAAGTTTGGCAAAAGAAAGAGTTGATTAACTCTCTAATATATACGCAGTATATAAGAATAGCTAGGTAATTACCTACTCCCGTTTTCAAAAACACTTCCTCTTTTATTTTTTCCACTTCCAACAAAACACTTCCCTTTTCTATTAAAAAACCACTTTTACCCTTACTTTTTCATACCCTATCTATCACATCATCTTACTTTTACTCATCACATCAGGGGCAAAATTGGAAATCAACTAAAATTTAACACTTCCTTATTTTTGCCCCAAATCAAAATGGGAAGGGTTTTTCCAAACGGAGGAGGGAGTAGTATTTTTAACATTAACAATAAAAGCGTATCATTTTATGACATTAGGCCTATTTGAATTTTGAACACTATATATACTACCTCCAATAAAAAAAATCTTTTCATTTGATACTTCATCCGTCACACAAAACCTTTCTCTTTTCTTTTTTCATCAGTGTCAAAAAATATTTCTCATTTTTATTTTAAAAACACTTTACCTCTAGTAATTTTTAACAAAACTATCACATTATACTCTTTTACTACTAATCTACCATCACATCCTATTTTTACTCATAATATCCAAAGACAATTTTGAAAAGTTAAAAAGAAAAGACTCTCTTTAAATTCTTTATAGGTAAAAACCACAAAGATTTTGTGGCATAGAGGGAGTATTTCTTAATTAGTCAATAATGTAAAGCATTGACCTCAAAAGATGATAACATATATGGTGAGATGTTATAAATTTAATATAAATAGATATTTTTTGAAATATTATGCTCCAAATTTTTCTTAAAATATTGCATTAGAAACCGATAAATCAAATAAGAAGTACATTTCCACTTAGAGACTATAATATTTTGTTGGGTTGAATATGTTTTTAGCCTCGTAAAATAGGCAACTTTAATTTTTGATCTCTCTAGATTTTTTTGATAAGTCGCCCATAGAATTTTTGTAAAAGAAATCTTTCTAGATAGAAATAAAAAACTTTGAAAATATCAAAATAGAAATTCTATTTCTTTCAAGACTAAAATAGGATTTGAAGTATAATGACATAGTGATCAAAGAATACATGTTGGCAGTGAGCAAAAAAGTGCTAAAAATGTAATATGTCAGTGTGATCGATCAGTCAATTGTCGACGATCTGCAACGACACTCTAGTGGCCGACAGCGACGAATGACAGTGTGGCGGTGATAATGTGAGAGTTACAATGTAAGCATGTGGTGAGTGTGACAATGTAGTAACAATGAAGGTGTGAACTTTTATGTTAGTTTTAAAAGACTTATGAGTCTTATTTTGGTATTTCCATAGTTTTTTACTCCTATTCATCGAAGATGTAATACGATGAAGAACACAACTTAGAGCATGTAAATTGTGCTTGAGATAAATAAAAATTCCAAATTAAAATGTTGATTACAAAATAATTTTGTTATTTGAACAAATTTGATGTCTTAAATATTTTCAAGGACCCATTTCAAAATGAATAATTTTCTAAGGATGACTTAATAAAAAAATATTTTCAAAAATAAATTTCAAAAATATTTTCAAGGACCAAAAATAAATATCATCTATTTTACGGCCGTGGAACTAAAAACACATTTAAATTTATTTTGTTTGATTTCAATTCGATTAATAAATGATTCTTACCTCTAGCCTTCTTAAAAACCCTTAATATATCTAGTGTCAAAATTTGATCACACCAACAAAAGTTTGTAATCTAGCATGACACTAATAATCAAGTATCCTCTTTGTTTGGTTGGACAAACCTAAGGACTAGGCAAAGGTGTATTGCTTCCATATTCATTATCAAAACCCATATTTTTTCATTGTGAATATGGCAACCATTAGTCCATATAGTGAGAGAAAGAGAATGTGGAGTGGATCTTTTCAAAAAAGGGAGGCGTTCATTAATTAATTTAAGTACCATGCTACACTTACACCAACAAATATACCCCATTTGTACACCACAGGTTTGCACAAACATTTCGATGTTTTACACCGACACAAGTGTTGGTGCGTTAATAAAAATTCACACGGACACAAATGTTGATGTGTTTAACAAAAATTAGTTTTACACCAACACAAAATGTTGGTGCAAAACTGCGGGGTACAAATTGAGGTACAAATCTTGGAGTACACATGGCATAATCCTTAATTTAAATGATGGAAGGTTGAAATTAGAGAAACAAGAAGATGGGAAAGCCAAACCTAATTAACCATTTTCTATGTCCAACCTTAGTTTAGATGTAGACTTGTCTGCACAATTTCAATTCCTAGCTAGCTACTTCTCCCTCACTTAATTTGTCTCTTTTGAGTGCTTAATTAAAAAAATTGGTAAAAGAAAATGAATGTGTAGTTATTCCCTTATTTGTGTGCACATATGCATGTATTAGTTAATAGTTACTCCATATACTATCTTCGTCCTAATATATTTATTCAATTTAACTTTTCTGACTTAAACTAGAAAAACTTTGAAAATTTCATTCATAAAAAATTCTAACGTTTATTAGTATAAAACAATTTTATTAGATTTATCTAGTTGCAACTATATAAATGTTGTAACTAAATAATTTTATGCTAATATAAGTTACAATATTTATTTAATTTAATTAAGATCTAAAAAAAATTGTATTCACGTGCAATGGAAATTGAGCGTAATTGATGATCGAGATTGGTTCAACTTGATTCAAAAAAATCAACCTGTACGAATACACACTTAGACAGAGGAGTGTAATATATACTCTACTTTCCTCCAAAATTATAATTTAATTTCCTTTTTAAGATTTAAAAACAATTGAGTATAGTATATATATATATATATATATATATATATACACATACAACTTGATCAATGGAGTTAGGGTTGTCTTTATTTAAAGACAATCTCAACATGCTATAACCAGAAATTGGAATGCAATTGTCGGCAATCATCTCCCATATGGTTCAACATATATATTCATTATGTTAAGAAACATAGGGAGTAGTAGTACTTATAATAGGGTAGCATTCAATTAATTGCATAGTTAATTATATTTGTTCATATATATGTGAAAATGACACAATTTGAAGCATACAAATTCAATTGACATATAGTGAGCCTAGCACTGCTATCAATTCTCACCGGCTTAAAAAGTCTAATATTCACACGTTTTATCATTTTGGAGTTATCTATAGATAATAATAAGATCTCTCTTTTTTCTTTTTAAATTTAATTTACTTGAATTGGTAAATATTTTGGCACTCCATCGTTTATGTAATATGTATATGTGCTATTTTAGATAGCATTTCATTCGTTTCAAAGTGTAATTTACAATTCAATTTCACGTACAGTGATTTATAAAGTATTGACGAATAAAAATGTACGGCGTTGAAATTCGTTTAAAATTGAAAAATAAGGGCGCCCTTAATGAGAAAGGATGAAAGATATGATTGGCTTTACACTGAATTTAATAACGATGTAATAATGTAATGCAATTTTATGCATATGAGGGAGAACCAATGTGAACTCTTTAATTTTTCTTTAGAATAAAAATGGTAAAATTAGTTAGAGAGATCTAAAAGAGAAAAATTGGAATGGAAGAATGCGAGTGAAAAACATATCATAATTTGAAGAGATGAGGTGAGATGTAAAGTTTGGTTTAAATATAATTTTTTATGGTATGATTGGGAGCATTGATTTGGATTCAAATCCGGATTTGGCTCAAATTTCATATTTTAGAAAGTTTAAAATTTTGAATTTGGATTTGAGTCAAGTTCTTTTCATTCATAACAAATCTTAATTTAAAATCTATACATCTCCCCTTGTCATTTGAAATTCAAGATTTTAAATTTTGAAATTGAAATGCATGAATTGAAATGAAATGCTAGTTGCCAAACACTACCAGGCATTATATTGTGGCTTGGCCACAAAGACGCATCACATCGTAGAAGCATTGCAAGGAGATTGTAGAAGCATTGAATAACTCTTGTAGTGATTGATCTTATTTTATTTCCCTTGGTCTCGTGCGATGAGATTTTTCATTTTCAATTTATGTCTTGCTCTGCCAATGGAGTGATTCTATGGTGAACCTAAGGTCCACATGGACATTCTCACTTTTTTTTAATTTTCAAAATGTTTATTTCAATATTTAAAAATGCTTATTATTTAACATATATATGAAAGTCCACCGTGGATCTTTGGTACATGTAATAATTTGTTATGTTTTTCATTCACCTCAGAACACATGAGAATGGATTCCCCCCCTCGTTAATATTATTTAACTTCTTTTTGTTTAAAGAAACAGGATATTACTAATGTATGTCTATATTATTTATCATTTGATAAAATAAAATATTTTTATCACCTCTTTTTTTATCAAATTTTTGATGTATTCCCTTCGTCTAAAAATGAACTGCCCAAATACGATTTATTTTCATATTAATTTGTACGGAGTAAATAAAATTATTTCATAAGAGAAAATTTGAAATGTTCTTTCAAACAGAAAGACTGAACCAGAGGAAGTATGATAAAAGTTGTGACTTC